CCCACTACAGGGCATATACCCTGAGAAAACCATAATTCAAAAAGAGTCACGTACCACAATGTTCACTGCAGCTCTATTTACAATAGCCAGGACATGGACGCAACCTAAGTGTCCATCATCAGATGAATGGATAAAGAAGACGTGGCACATATATACAATGGAATATTACTCAGCCATAAAAAGAAACGAAACTGAGTTATTTGTAGTGAGGTGGATGGACCCAGAGTCTTTCTGAAGTTGGTCAGAAAGAGAAAAACAAATATCATATGTTAACACATATATATGGACTCTAAGGAGGAAAAAAAAGAAGGTCATGAAGAACCTAGGGGTAAGACGGGAATAAAAACACAGACCTACTAGAGAATGGACTTGAGGATATGGGGAGGGGGAAGGGTAAGCTGGGATGAAGTGAGAGAGTGGCATGGACATATACACACTACCAAATGTAAAATAGAGAGCTAGTGGGAAGCAGCCGCATAGCACAGGGAGATCAGCTCGGTGCTTTGTGACCACCTAGAGGGGTGGGATAGGGAGGGTGGGAGGGAGACACAAGATGGAGGAGATATGGGGACATATGTATATGTATAACTGATTCACTTTGTTATAAAGCAGAAACTAACACTCCATTGTAAAGCAATTATACTCCAATAAAGATGTTTAAAAAAAAGAGGTCAAGCCAGAATGCAGACCTTCCCTGCACCTAGAAGGTCATCTCTACTCCTCCCACCGTGTCGCTGTCTCAGACGATCTCAGGGCTCCTTCAACTCCTGCTCCGCAGCCGCCTTCCTCCGTGGCTTCCTCTAAGCACATGTTAACCCGCAGCATTCCGTGACCTTCCTCCAGTCAACTCCAAAGAACCCCTTGCTCTCAGCTCCTCACCTGCCTGCGCGCAGCCGGTTTCCGACCCCTGTGAGGTCCCAGGCTCTGCCGACCCCTGACCCGCAGCCTCTGAGTAGCCGACTGGCGTCCTGCTCCCCCGAGCGCTTCACCACACCCAGCTCTCAACCGATCACACCTGCTCCTCCACAGGTCAAGACCCTGCCTCCCCGGAACACTCCCTGGGAAGGGGGCCTGCCCTTTCCCAACCCTTTTTAGATCCCAGGACGCTCCTAGTTTCTTATTGAAACAGACAGTCCATTTATCACTACATCTGACCCATTCTTAATGAGGGGGAAATACTGACACATTTGAAGCCTTGTTACATGTGTTAACTTAAAGAAAAACACACAGCATAAGAGTTGTGCATTTAAGTTTTGTTCAGGGTCTTCCTGAGCACTATAGGCCAAGAAACAGCCGCTCAGTTACTGCTGAGGAACTGCTCTGAAGAGGTAGGGGAGGGGCCAATATATATATGATTTGGGGGGCTAGGAAATACATGCAGTCAAGACTACATCTTGGTGAAAGATTACTGCTCATCACAAAGATATCTCAAGTTAATGATTTTAGTGCTCTTACATATGGGAAGATGCAAGAATCTGAGTTCATGGTAATTCTTCCTGAAATAGGCATCTAACTATCTAGGGGACGTCCCTATATCCAAAACACAAAGCACCTCATCCTGCTTTTCATTCTGAATTCCTCTCAGGGTGCAGTGGTGGTGGGCAACTACAGTGGGGTGTGACTTAACGCTGTATTTCTGGGTGATGCTCTTCTCTGTTCATGCATGGTACCTAGCTCAGTCTTTCATTTCACAGGGGGTATTGCAAGGTCCAAAAAGGGGAAATCCATTTCCTTTCTTGTCATGTAACAGCTGCCCTACGTCTCTTTTTTTTTTTAACATCTTAACATCTGTTATACCCTGCAACATCATCACTTATTATTACACTCAACAATAACAACAACAAAACAGAAACATGTCCTATTTCTCTAGGAAGCCTAGTAGAACGATAAAGGCT